TTTCTTAGGAAAACTGTAAATCAGCCACTTTAGATGGAAGCTCAGGGAAACTACTATAGGGACTATTTTGCCAAAGCTGCTGACATGGTGAGATGATTATTTCTTAGGTTGTCAGTTCAGGTTCTTTTACATTTTTATAGTTAGGACATGGTGAGTCAAGAAATGAACAGTTTCTGCTCAGAGAGTGGGCAGGCTGGGAGAAAAGTGGCCATTCTCAGGTTCTCAGCAGCTAGAGGTATAATTACAGAGGTAAAGCATGACTCATCAGTTGCAAAGGCTCATAGTTTTTGAGACACAAAGAGAAATTTAGTTACATTCCACTTGATTGTGGTTGGAAAAACAAGTCCAAGTGAAGACAGAGTAAAGTCTTCTTTTGAGGTTCCTTATAATATTTTCTCTGAGCAGGGCAGTGGACACAAGTGAATATACATTCTTTCTAGTCATCATCTACCTTGCCACCAAGATTGCAAGCACCCTGGTGATAGGAGCCAAGTTTGCTCCTTCCTCATCTGGGAAGGAGAAGATGAAGTGTAAGCCTTCTTCCAACCATCTTGCCCCAGGTGATAGTTGGTTACAATGACAATGGCTGTCAGAGACCTTAGCGATCTTGTCCATTTAAATGGGTGTGTGAACCCTCAGTTTGGAAGAAGCTGAGGTTGTGGCAGTAGCTTCCAGATAACAACAGACCCACACTAATGCCTTTATCTATCCTCTCCTGATGACAGTGGCCTCTCAGGGCCTCCCAGAAACGGCTCTTGCCAAGGGCATCAACTTTTGAGAAGTTCTAAGTGCCCTATGTCTTCACTAAGTATAAGTAGCTAGTTCATGACCCCTGGCCCTGGATGTGAAAGAAGTTTCCTAGCATATCATTCTTTGCTTTCAGATTTGAAGGCAAGTTTGATTACCTCTTAGTGCCACCCACCTTTCTCTCTCTCAAGACCATGCCCTTCCTTCAGTCCAGAATGACGGGTGAAACGGTAAGAACTTCTTCCACTGTTCAGAGATTCAAGAGATGTTTCCTGATGGGCTGGTAAGGTTTATGTTTTCTCACAACTAAATGTGGATATATTGGTTCTGAGTTATATGTCTAATTGATCTGACAGTAAACTGGTTCTCGGGGAAGTCCAGTCCAACAGGATGAGGACAAGAGGGGAGGAGTATGGTCCAGAGTAGCTGAATAGATGGTGAGGTTTTGAAAGGAATTCTCTCACTACTAATAGATTTTGGTGGTGTTTGTGTTGTAGGTGATTTCTGATTCTTGTGAGATAGCACATTAACTTAATTTCTGATTAATTGAGTCTGGATCCTGAGGAATCATGGATTTGTTCTCTTGTTTTTCAACTTGTTTTTCTCCTCTATATTCACCTCCCCTAGTCAGTTAATCTTTCCCCCATTCAGCATCAAGAAAGCAATGTGAAGCAGCAATTCTCCCATGATCTTACCACTGTTTCCTTAAATACATTGGTCCTTCCCATTTGAAGACTGAGAGTGTGATCAGATGTGAGACTTAACAGGGCAAGAAAACCAGCACAGAGACCAAGAGGCATCACTGTCCTTTTGTGCACAGAGCGAGAGTGCCATTTGAAGCTTAAAGCCTTTTTGCAGACCTGGTTGGCAATGCTGATCCTGTAAATAAGGAAAATATGTAGCTACCTACAGTCCGATTTGAGAAATACTAAAGGTACTCCCTTTTCTTTCTCCTGCCAAGGAGAAAAATGCCCTAAACTCCACCAAAACCAAAATAGTGCTCTATGATCATCTGCCATAGCACTTGAGATTAGCTTCGCCTCTGGGGTGAGGAATTGAAGTTCCTGTTAAAATAGAAATCTATTATTTCGGGAGACACAGGGACATCGTTTAGTACTTGAGCCGATTTCATCAGCTCCCAAGGGGAACATTGGTCTAGTCTAGTCACTGAACTGGCTCTCTAGAGAACAAATTTCTTCTGGTGGGACTGCTACAGGTGTCCTAAAGAAAAAAAAAATAAAGGAGTATAAGAGTTATAAAGTTTAAGTGATTCACCAAATAATCTGCATTTTGGAGGACAGTGAAAAATATACTTAGTTATGTTGAAGCCTATAGGTGAATGTGACTCCAGTTCCTCCGTTTTCCTTACATTAGCCTATACTTCAGAATTTTCTAAGATTCTTTCTTTCCCACTGATATTTTTCTTTTTCTCCAAGGTCTTATGTTCTTGTTCACTAACCCCAGATGTCTTTCTTCCTTTATTTCTCCAGTGTCTCAGCTGCATTTTCTTTTCTTGCTAAGTTAAACACGATCCCCTTTCTCTACTGTCATTATCCCTTGTTTTCTATGCTGATCATACTACAAAATGGTAAATATGTTTATGCTCTTGCTTTATTTATTGGATTAAGTTGTATTCCATGTTCAGAATCTACAAATTAGATTAAATTTTTAGCTGTTCATTTCTTTCTCAGAAATATGCTAAAATCGGGACCAGCAGTTAATGTAATGGCTATGTCGCTGGACTCCCACGTAGTCGACCGTGGTTCAAGTCCCGGACCCGGTGGCTTAAACTCATGCTGGGTGCATGTGCGTGCCTGCCCAAGATCCCAAGAGGAGAATGGAGGAGAAGGGATGGCGGTGTGGTCATCCCTCCTAGGGAGTGATTTCTCGTTTTCTGTCTCTCTGTCTCTCTCTGTCTGGCGAGCGCATGCACCCCATAGCAAAAACCTCTCAAAAAAAAAAAAAAGAAATATGCTAAAATCAACATAGTCATAAATTCATTATTTCTTCCCCTAGTCTGAGTCAGTCATCCTGGGTGGAATAAAGTTATTATCAGTCATTAAAGCAGTAACAGAATACTTAGCCAAGTAACTAAGAGTACTAGGTCATATAGTTTGTGATGATGGAGAAAAGTAACTGTAAGTATTTTTAATTGTCATCAGTCCTCAGTTTGAGTACTTTAGGAGGTCAGAGTTGGAGCTAGGAAAATTGGGGACCAAGATTAGTGTCAAGACAGGCCTCTGGGGAAAGGGTCTCAAAAGGTGAAAGCAACAAGAATGGGTAAACCTAATCTAAGGTCTTGGAGATATGGTTTGATTTAGGATGAGGTGTATGAGCTTGACTGTAGTTGTGGCTGGGGTGGGGAGAAGTGTAATTCTTTGAGAGAACCACCAGTAAAGTGACTGTTACATCATTGGCAAAGCTTCTGGTGGGAAGTCAATTAGTGAATAATGACTTCTTCACATCCCCATTCAAGTAAATTTTAAACAGCTAGTCAAAGCACAAACAGAATTCTTTCTTTACAATTTTATTTACAAAATGTATTAAAACTTTGTACAATACCTCATGGCAATGAGGCTCCGTAATTTATGCCCACACATGCAATTTATGCTTTTACAGCCATTAGTTTGCTTGGCAATTGTTCTGTTCACTGAAGTACAGTTTTAACAACAAAAAGAAAAGAATTGGAAAAAAAAATCCTCAAGTGACTACCGCCAAACTCCCATAGCTTGAAGTTAGTAGCAGAAATTTGAAGCAATCAAATTTTTTTAAACATGCAAGTTTTTTTTTTAAAAAATAACAAACCAATTTACCCGCCTCTTCATCTCAGTGAAGTTTCCTCTCTGAAAAACTGATTAGAGTCAATAAACATACATTTCTCTTTATACAGTGCCTATGAAAACGTTCATGTGTAGGTTGGTTGGCTTGTTTTATACAACTTTGTATTCACACAGCGTTAGCTTCCCATGTTGGGACATTATAGCATTCAAAAGTTGAAAAATCACAGTTTCATGAAAACGAAACAAAACAAAAACACAGCTCTTTCTTTTTTGTTCAATACTGTTTAAAATTTGACAGGTGAGTTATTCGCTTATGACACAATTTTTGGAATGAAAGTTTATATTACACTTTTCTGGAAACGTTTCATTGGAATGAGACTTCTTCCTTTTCTGAAGACAACAGCAAATATGCGGCGAGTCAACTAAGCATCTAAGGGTCACACTTGGGAAATGAATGCGAGCTCCTAGTTTTTACAGTCTGGAAACTTCCCAATGCACATTACTGATGAGAGCAAACTACTGAACTACAGAAAGCATACGTCGTTATATAGGAGGTAATTAGTGAGCGGAGACTATTTCCTCTGACTGTTCTGATGATGCCAACGGCAGGTATGCAATTAGTTACTTGATAGCCCACGGAGCAGTGGAGCGATCTTCTGAGAGTCAGTAGAGAGACTGCTCCAAGCAAGGACCTAGGAGTGATGCTGAGGCCCTCAGATTAGCAGTAGGTTTGGGAATGCATTTAGTCTTTGCAAACTAGAAAAGGACACATGCAGTCTGACGGAGAGCCACGGGCAGGCAACAGCTGGTAAGACAGACCTAGCAAGGGTAAAGTCAGATCAAGAACTGTGGTCTGAACCCACTGGCCCGCCTTGCAATGCGATCCTATCTCCATGGTGTACACTTGAAAGGCATACTTAGCAGAGAAAGCAGAGCTAACACAGTGTTGTTTCTGAGAAAGATATTCTAAACACATCTGGGAGTATAGGCAGCATTTCCCTCACCTCAATGCTAAATACTCAGCTATATTGACTTCAAATGCACACCGAAGCAAGAAACAGATCTGTGAGCTGAAATTCCAGGCTTTTTGGAAAGCCCCGGGATCCGTTTTAGGAAAGCACCGAGAGATATGCCTGATAGTGCCCCGTCCCTCGCTACACAGGAAAGTCAAATTTGAAAGCTCTGTTAATCCCTTCACAGAGTGGGAAGTTATCAAAGCATTTTCACAAAACCATTTCAAGAACACAGAGAAGTCACCAGTTAGTTCCTTTCCCAAAGCATTTGAATTTTCTTAAGTGTTGCATTTATATTCTAAAGATATACACATTTCAGCAACATTGAAAGGAAATAGGGTGCACAGAACATCACCACCAACAGGAAATACCAAAAACATCTGGTCAGCAGATCTTAGAAGAAATGCCAGTCTGTCTTCCCAAACAACAGGAGACAGATTTTTTTTGTTTAATTTTTAAATTTTTTTTTTTTTTTTGGTGAGGAAGAACTAATTCTTTTAGCTAAGATGAGCCTATTTGCTGAACTGGAATTTAAAATTTGTGGATGTGTATTAAAAGAACATGGTGTTTGTATACTGTGCAGTGGTATCAAAGAATGGCTTTTGTTGAATTGAAATTTTTTAATAAGATTTTTTTTCGCATACTGGAATCTTGCATGTCCTTTTTTTGTTGGTTTTTATTTTAATTTTTTTTTCAAGCAAAGCAAAAAGATTTCAATGATGGTTTGCATTGTCGCGAGTCTCAGAGTGTTCCATAAGGCACTGAAGGAAAAAAAAATCAGTTTTTCCTATTGAAAGGTCATTGCACCATCAGCAATATTCGTGTCATGCCCGACACCAAGGAGAGTGAAATCTGGCTCAGGATCCTTGAAGCAGCCACGTTTTCGGTGATTTCCTCTCATCATATGTCTCCAGCGGGAAGGGATCTGCAAAGGCAAGGGGAAATTTATATTGGATGGGGCTTTCTATCAGGAATTGAAAAATCTATTATGGCTCAGTCTATTTTGAACAAAAACTGTAGCTGTTTTCTCAAACTGGTTTCTCTGGGGCTGCACCCTGTTTGACTAGCTTTAGCAACAGGTCTGATTTAATTCTTTAACCCCAGGTAAATGTTTTGCAATAGGTTAAATTAGGATCATTCTACTAGATGCAGTGTACTAAAAAATAAATGGGTGGTGCATGAAATCTAACTCAAGACTTAATTACTTAGGATGGAGATATACTAGATAGTTATAATGGCATTTAAATACAGACATTCAGGAGAACTACACTGCAGGGTGTATTCTGATTGCGTAAAACTTTGCGACAAAGGATTATACCTAGGACAGAGGGCAAGCAGTGTTCTCTGGCTTACTAAATTGAAATCTATTTTTCCTGAGAAGAAAATTGGCTGCTCATTGCCAGAAAGGTGACTGCCATTTCTCTTAATACCTACAACCTTAGTTAATTAGAATCTGAAAATAATACAAGGATTTTAAAGAGACCACATATTCCAGAAAGAGGCCAGAGCAGTGATACCCATGAAGGGACTTGACATCTATGGGGTCTTTACCCTGATATTATGAGCCTGATGGCAGTGCTAATTGTACCCACTTTTGGAGGCATTAGGCATTTGCGGGGGATTTATTTGCCCTGACTGAAAATTCAAAGGCCATTTTCTTGCCTCTTTTTTAAGCTTACAACCCCCTCCACACACTTTCCTTCTACACTAATGAATCACTTTTTATATTGAGCTAACACTGAATTTTTTCCCTAAGGAATGGCATTAGCATTATCTACCACTGGCCCTGGAATAGAAATATCTGTAAGAAGGATGTCAATGATACACTTGAAAGCCAAAAGCCTCAAAGAGGGCAAAATAAGACTCTCATAGAAGTAGGAAAATCTTTGTTGGAAGTCCTAAATCTTGAGTTACATTTATTTCAGAAAGTTGGAGAAGTTGTGTATCTATGGCAGAAAGATCAAAGGCTCCTCCCTTTTCCCCATTGGCCATGGGATGTCATTATTTAGCTGCAAGACTTTGTGAAAGCGAGCTAAGTTCTCAGTGCCTCCATCTCCTGTCTTTTAACGATGATAAATGAATTGTTATCACTGAGGTAGAAGTCCTCTGGGGAAAAAGACCATCACTGCCTCAGTTATCCAAGTTTCTGAGACTGAGCCACATGTTCTACAAGTCCAATAATCCTGATGCTACTATTGCACATACAAAGTGAGACGACTCCCTTGTCTTTCAAGGATGAGTTTTTGTTCACCAGATTTTACTGGATATTTTTCGCAGGTGATTTGCCTTGAGTCATTCTTTCTGAACAATTACTGGTACTGTAAACCCCCAAGGCAGGCTCTGATAATTAGCAATAAGAGTAAAATCTCGGGGTGCCTCTCTATCTCTGTGCCTGTGAATAGACCCTGACAGATCTAGGCCAACTCAGGGAACTGGAAGCCAAATAACTAGGTAACAGATTAGAAGTTACTATAAGATATTCTGGAACTTCTTATGAAATAAGAGATGAATGAGTGAAGAGTTCATTCTTCACTTAACCAATATTCCCTAAAGTCATGTCACCAAATTGGCAGATGACAGTGGAGAAGTTTCTATTTTCTGCTCAGCCTGCTTTGTGCCTCTTGTCAACACATTGAGATTATTCTGGCATCTTCTGAAGCTTTTCCTTCTTGTCTAGAGACTTTACACAGTCTTACAGGACAGATGTGTTTGCAAAGTTTCCTCCCAGGTTTACTTTCATTCTAGAGATGATTGCTAAGGGGCTACCTAACTGGGCTGTAAGCACATTTGGATGAGTGTCTATTAAAATATTACTTCTGCCTCAATTAGGCCAAATTTTGCTTCATGAAAGTGATCACATGTGATGACTAAAGGAAAACCAGAGAACCAGAAGTTGTAGCAAGTCAGTTTCTAGGGACTTTTCACCCAAGTTTGATGTTTCAGGCCTCCATTTTAGGACTGCAACATTCTGCTCAGACAAAGGTATGCTCTTCCTTCATTCCTTTGTTCCTTTTCTTTAATCTTACTCTCCATCTCCCTTTCCTCTCTCCCTCTCTTTTCCCTCCGTTCTTTTGAGTTACATTCTCTGAGGTTTTTTTCCCTAGACTCTTATTAGTTCCTAGACCAGTAGCATCTGCTTGACTGGGACCTTGTGAAAACAGTAGAATCTCAGGATCCATCCCAGATCGGCCAAATCAGGATCTGTATTTTTCTAAGAATGTGATTCACATGTACATTGATGTTTGAGAAGCACTGCTCTGGAGCTTTAACAAGAGACTGAGACTACAGTAGTTTAGGGGTAGGGACATAGATTCTTAAATGAAGTAGTTGAGAAATAAAGAGAGTCTAAGAGGCTGTGTGGTCCTGTGACCTGATATGCTCTGTTTCAGAAAGATTCTGTGGAAAGGAGGGGTAATTGAATATATAATCTCATGTGGAGTTCCTCAGAAGGCTTGATGAAGTTACTCAAGACTTTTTTGTGTGGGTAAATGGGATGTGAACTTAAGATATGGTATCTGTTTGATGGGATCCCATTGAAATTTCAAGTATTCTGGGGGCCACCATGCCATGGGTGGTTAGAAGCAGCATGATTTAGTAAAGAATATAGCTCTAAGAAGGACAGCTGGGTTCTAGTCCTAGTACTACCAATACCTAGGAGTGGTGCCTTGAGCAAGTCACTTAATGTGGCTGAGTCTTAATTACCTGAAAGAGAAAATACTACCTGGTCCCTTTCTTATTTCAAACAAGGTGATAGTATGACAACACTTGGAAAACTGCAACACAGATCTATAATGCATTATTTATTTGGATGCCAGTACCTCAGAATTTGGGATAAATAATGGAGGCCAAAATTGTTCATTTATTATCCTATGGAAAAAAAAAATATGCTCCAAATTGTATTGGGCCTGTATCACCTCCTCAAGAGTAAAACATTATAAGTACACAGAAAAATTAAATGCTTGCATGCAAATGATGCTAATTACAGATGAATCCATGTATTGCATATTCACCAATGCAATAGGAACACTTTTTCAGAAGAGGAAGGTTAATTTAGGGTGCTGAATATGCTGTGGCAAAAGGCTGTGGTCTGTGGAAGGAAAGAACAACCAGTGACTTAATCAAATAAGATGATGCTTTCCATGGCGAAGATGAATAATATAGTTGTATAAAATATTACTTAAAAATTGGTTGAATTTAAATCCTAAGTATGAAATATAAGAAGGTGAAAAATGCAAATGCATTTGTAGAAATTCCAGCACATTTCCTCATGAGGTCAAAATCGCCTACCTAAAATAAGGGATATAAAGTTGCTAGTTGTTCTGTTCCGCTTTAAATAGGTGTGTTAGTGATGACAGATAGACTTGCTGGTAACAAGACTATATATAGTCTTTGAAACCCTTCCAGAGTGGAGATGGTATCCTAATGCAAACTTGCATTTGCACACATCTGATTTATTGGAGGGGTGGGGCAGTGGCTGCCAGAGTCAAGATGGTATCAGTTAGCTTCATCTAAGTAGGAAGTTGGGTTTAGCCAATAGCAGAGACCCTAGACTGTCCTTTGAAAAACACTGACCTCTGCATCGGTTTCAAGGAAGGGACAACAAAGGAACTCAAAGAATAAGGAAATTGTCTGAGGCTTACACTGTTTACTTGAAAGAACCACTGTTCTCTTAAGGAAGCACTGTGCTTCTCAAGGTGGCCATGCCTCATTTCTATTCCTCATTTTAACATCAGCTCCAGAGCGGCTGCTTTTTCTTGAGCAGTACTGTCCCATGCAGAAGCTACCGGCCACATGTGACTACTGAACATTTGCTATGAGGGTGAGTTGAGATATACCATGACTATAAAAAATATTTCCCAGATTTCTAAGACTAGTATGAAAAAGAGAATGTAAAAGATCTCATTCATTTTTAAAATATTGATAGCAAGTTTAAATGATAATACTTTTGGATATTTTGAGCCAGAGAAAATAATTTCACCTGTTTTATGGCTACTGGAGTATTTAAGTGTACACATGTGGTTCACATATGTGGCTTGCATGTACTCCTATTGAACAGTGCTACTCTAGAGAATTTTTTTTTTCCTTTTGAGTCACAAACCACAATTTAGTTACAATGATGCTACTGGAAAAGGACTACTGCCTGAGGAGAAAGCACAACCATTGTTTACAAGGAACTGAATGGTTGCAAAGGAGAGACAATGCTTGAAACAATAAACCAAACTGAAAAACAAGGAAAAGAAAAAGAAAGGAGATGAACATATAGTAATATAAGGCTGATTAGTTGATTAGACCTTAATCGTACCCCTAGATCTTAACACTCTCTGTTCCATACACGTTGTAGCCTTCTCTGTATGTAGCGTAATTCTGAGTGTTGGTGGCAGGAGCAGGCTTAAAGTTTTGGGTGTTCTTTGTGAGTTTCATGCGTTTGGACTCTGCCCGTGATTTGTAACAGAATTCTATCAAAGCCACCATCATGGCCAGCCCCAGACCTCCGACAAGTATATAGAAAACGCCTGCCACATTGCTCAGGCTCAGAGCGCTGGTCTTGTCCTAAGAGAAATGAACAACACGATTAGTTCTTGGGGAAACAAAGGTAATGGGACATTATAAAACATCACAACAGTATAGGATAGTTCTAAATTGTAAAATAACTAAACATTGATGTAAGTGTTATGACTCAACTCTGGCAACTGGTTAGTGTTTCACAATGACCAGCAAGATGGTAGATTGTGCTTCTGTTGACTGTTTTGATCCTTACCTAAGTGTCTTTTTATATTGACTCCTTTTACTCCTTAGTACCTCAGAGTGGTGTTAAACAACTAAATAAAACTGCACTTAGCCATGGGAACAAAAGAGTATACACAAGCATAATTTATTTCTCTGCCAGTGTTAATAAGCACCATTTGCCAGAGTTGAGCTGTGACATAATCTCTATAAATGTAACACTCTTCATTGGGG